GATACCAGGTGAGTAGAATTTTGTACCGCAGAGGTGGTCTTTCCAGTGAAAGGACGCAGGATTTCAGACAAAAAACGAGCTAGTTTGTAGGTGGGGGAGCTGATAGTAGAGACTATGGGATGAAGAGGTGTATCAACTTTATGTATTTTTGGTAAGCCGTATAATCTTGGTGGCCTGGCAGCAGAAGGTTTCAACGAAAACTGTTTAGATTGATCAATTAATGCGGTTGAATCAGAAATTATTTTGTTGGTTTGTGTGACGAGGCTGTTGGTGGGATCTCTTTTTATTTTGTATAACTACCATCGTCGAGTAATTCTTTAATTTTGTTGTTGTATTCTATTTTATCCATGATGACAGTAGCATTGCCTTTGTCAGCTGAGAGAACTACAATATCATTCCTCTTTTTTAATTTATATAATTCAAAACGCTCATCTTTGCTGAGGTTGCTAGCTGGCATCTTAGCGTTTTTTGAGGGTTGCAGCGATTTCAGATCTTGCTACGTCTGCAGCGATGTGACCCAGGCCCCTGAGAGCAACGTCTACTTGGGCAATTATATCATTAACTGGTATGTGTTTAGGTGTGACTGCAAAGTTTAGACCTTTAGCTAAAACGGATTTCAGACCATCGGAAATAGAACTGTTACTGCGATTAATTACGACTTTATTAACGTCTAACTTTTTGGTGTGTGGGTCCGGTCTTTTGTTGAAGAGGAGGTTAAATTTGGAAATCAGGTTTTCCTTACATTTGGTCGACATAGTAGCAGCTGAAGAGGCAGTCATATTGTCTACATGTTCCCAATCCGATGTGGACATTATTGCCGTCAATGATAAGTGTGATTTGTAGAGTGTCTTGTCTAACTGACCTAGTTCTGTGCGTATAAGTCTGATTTTTTCTGAGATAAGAGCTAAGCTAGTTTTGAAAAGAATTCGTTTCGCATTAGAAGAAGTTACAGCAGCAGAGGTGAGTGTAAATGCGATTGGTATTACCCCAGAGTCGCGGCATCTCTTCAGGAAGGTGATAGACTCGATCAGCTGAGCTTTCTTATCCCGGAGTTTGTTGAAGGATCTTAAAGTTATGTGAAAACCCTCCCCGTAGAGGCGATTAAATTTTGATTTAAAGCTTTCGTGACTGCAGTAATTCATATTCTTAGTTTTTTAGGTAAAGTCACGTTGAAGAGAAACAACAAAATAACAAAATATATATAAAACAATAAAAAATTCTCACGACGTTTCGACCATAACTCAAACGGTCATCATCAGGTGTGTCGGTTTGCATAAATGTATTTTTAAAACGGCACATTTATTTATTTATAAAAAACGTTGGCATCATGCGCAGCGATTGGCAGTTTGCCCAGGACTAGTCCATCTATTTTTTTTTTAAAAGAGGAGGGGGGAGACGAAATTTTTTATAATGTATGCTGTCTGAAAGCCACTGTAAGCGTGAACAATCAATCAAGAACTGAAATGATTTATCAAATCTTTCCAATGATTGCTAAGATAGAATCCATCTTCTCGGTTGAAATTGTCTCTGTGCTTGTATATGTGGATAGCCTCATGAACGAATCTCTCATGGAAGCCAGATGGCTTACAAAGAACCTCCGTCTTGGAAAAGTCAATGGCATGTGAGCCTACTGAATTAGAACAATGATCTGCTACGGCCGAGGTGTTGGTCCTACCGTGTTTAAGGTCTGATTTATGTGCACGAATGCGGTCCGAGACATGGCGTTTGGTTTCTCCAATGTAACTACTACCACAGAGGCAACTTAGTTTGTAGACACCAGGGTATTGTATGTCCGGAATCACATCTTTTACAGACGGAACCAGATCACGGATTTTATGTAATGTGTTGAAACGGACCTGGATCTTGTGTTTATTCAAGATTTTGGAGATCTTTTTTGTGATCCCAGCAATGTAGGGTAAAGTGATGGTTTTGAACGGCTCCTCAAGAGGGTTCTTCTTCATGGTTTGAGTGATAGCTTTGCGGATTGTATAGTCGGTGTTACCATTAGCCCTAAGAGCTTGGTGTACGTGCTTGAGTTCACTGCTTATGTGTTCCTGGTCGGATATGCATTGGGCTCTATGATACAGAGTCTTGATGAGAGAATTCTTCTGTGATGGATGGTGGTGGGAATCCGGTTTCAGATAAGCATCCGTATGGGTAGCTTTCCTGTAGACAGAGTGGCTCATTGAACCATCAGGTCTCTTTTTAATTAGGACATCCAAAAAAGGTATCTTGCCATCTATTTCGACTTCCATGGTAAATCTGATGGCTGGGTGTATGGAATTGATGTGGTTCTACTGCACAACACATTCATGCATCAAATATTTATTGTGAGAATAGATAGATTTCTATCATTGTGAATGTCTGTGTAATGACAGTAAATGGAATCACAATGGTGTTTAGCGCCGGCTACTGTCACAAGAGTGGAACTGTACGTCTTGAGCCTCTCTGGCACCAGCATAAGTATGGCATGCAAGCGGGTCCTCGGGGGCATAGTTCTGGTGATGGTCTGAGAGAGGGCAAGTAAGGTCATGGCGGTCTGGGTGAACCCGAGAGGGCACGTGACCGAAGCAGGGTAGCAAGGGGGCCCAAAAAGGGGCTCGAGGGACACGTGATGCTTGGACGAGATCCTTCTGGTGAGATCCAGAAGGGGCATGGCCGAGGGCGGAGCGAGGCCAGGCTCAAGAGGATAAAGGGGAAGTCCCGGGAGCGATCACGGCTGTTCTCTGGAATCAACCCTACGTCTCTTCGATCTTTGTTCGGCATCGTGGGTCAGTCAGAATGTTACTGACTGATCCTGTTATGCAGTTACCCCGTTGTGGTATAGTTACCCCATTGTGGTCTAGTTAACCAAGTGTATATTTATGCAGTTACCCTGTTGGCGTGTTATAATGTGTTGCCTCTAAGTTCTAGTGTGTGTCTCTGTAGAACCCACTACATATGCATTAGAGAAAGTAACGACAAGGCCATCAAATGGAACAGTACAAACAATATAAACAATACAGGATAAACTAGACAATACTCACAGTACAAACGAGACAGTTCAGATAAAACAGAAGAGGACATACATTGATTCTTAAATGGAATCATGACCCCAAATTGTGACCACAGAGGCAGGGCATGAATTGTGACATGCCTGTCGCAGTATTTAGACCCATGACAATAAAACACATTTTAACTCAAATATTAACAAATCTGCAGTATGAATGGGGTTGTTGAGAGTCAGGGTTGGTCAAGACAATTCTGCACTTGTCATAGCGGGGTCTGCTCAATAGCAACAGTAACAATGGCTGCAGAAAACACAGCACATTGTGTCCAGTACGTAACATGTTGAATCAGTTTTGGAAATCCATTATCATTGGACGCATATGTTTACAATTAACTCCTCTTGTCCGGTTGGTTGGCACTAATGACTGAGTATTTCGACTCACAATCAGAAGGTTGCAAGTTCATATGAAGGTTTCATTCGATGTTTTAAATCAACAAATGAGCAGTACTAGATCATTAGAATTAAAACATTGGTAATGTTTTATTTTAATAATTTAGCACATCACAAGACTGGGAAATGCTTCTTAATACGTATATTTGGACAGAAAAAAATCTCATGTTGAAAATTTCATTAGAACGCGACATACACCATGGTTTTCACGAGGAATGACCGGATTCTGGGTTTGATGCAGATGCAGTATGATCTTACAGGCAGGAGTTGGACTGTGGAATTTCACTGACAGGGTAGAGTTATGCAATGTGCATAATTATGCACAGCATGACAACCTGCCCATTGCTTCATGGGACTTCTAAATGTGGACATTTAATGAGGCAGCAAATATAAAACATATTGAGGAACTGCACGACAGACAATTGCTCAATTTGATCCTCACATGAATGACTGCTTTGTGAAAAAATAAGTCATGTTTTGAAAACCGTACAGTTTATATTGCAAGCCATTCAAATACAATTTATTAACTCATGTTTGTTTAACCAGATGAGAATTATTAAGAGACAAGGGAATTTATTATTTGCAAGAGTGATCTGGGTCGTTAATAATAAAGATAAAATAAATTTTGAGTAGCTCTGTCAACTGAAAACTGATATCAGCCTTTTTTTCACAAATTATACACTGATTCATATTCTTAGCTCTTTCGGTAAAGTCACGTTGAAGGGAAACAATAAAATATATATAAAACAATAAAAATTATCACGACGTTTCGACCATAACACAAACGGTCGTCATCAGGTGTGTCGGTTTGCATTAATTATTTTATTTTATTATTTTATTGTTTCCCTTCAACGTGACTTTACCGAAAGAGCTAAGAATATGAATTACTGCAGTCACGAAAGCTTTAAATCAAAATTTATACACTGATTGTGATTGATGTATGGTATAACCCCTGAAGCGTTGCCCCTGAATCAGCCTTTGGAATGACCCAGGTACTAAATGTTCTACATTATCTCAATGGCGATTGGTCTCTATGGGGTGTCGGGGTGGTGCCCCACCTAAAAATTGCACTTAAAATATTTTAAAAAATAAAATATAAAAAATTACACGGGAAAAAGTGTTCAAAAGTTAATCGTTTTTAAAAATCAATTCCACTGAATCTATATGGAAGAGACTATTCATCTGAGGGGCGGTATCTCTCCCAGATTGGCAGTCATGGGAAAATAAGATTAGCTGGGATTACGGAGTCGAAGCCACCATTCTGAGAATATTGTATGACTGCAATTTTCACCTACCCAAACATCTTACTTGCTCCTTTATCATGGACACCAAAGGCAGTGACGTGGGACAAGAGGTGCTGGCCCAGGACATTGATGGAAGCGTGGCGGACACAAGAACTACAAAACAGGCATATGGTGTCTTAGCACCCAAGTTGTGCTTAACTGCTTACTTGGAAATATTATGAATGCTCCTCTAAATAAATACAAATTTTAATACAAATTATTTTCTAATAGCATATAACTCAAATGTAGTGCAAAACAATAGAGTAGCTTCGCGCATATCATTTTTTCACTATTGTTTATTATCGTTTATTCGCGCATATTGTTTGCATTGCATTGTTTGTGCATTTTGCATTGGGTCTGCAAATATTATCTCACCAAGTGATTCTCTGGTTTATATATCTCAAACACATCCTTTGTTCTGGCACCTGAGATTTACTGTATGGGAGGCATGGTATATAAAAATAAAAGATCGACTACCATTGAAAGTTGTACCGTGGGGAGTCGCAAGGCCTGGGAGTTGAGAAACACTGCTTTAGAAGATATGTGTGCTAGTTGATTATTACAGGAGGTAGGGCAGGATGGCCCGGCGATGCTGCGGGTAGTCTGGGAAACGGCTGCGGTACGACTCGTGCATGAGGCGTCCCTCCAGGGACTGGATGACGATGAGGTAGAAGAGGACGACCCACCACGTGCGGTGGACACCGCCCAGCACCACCGCGATCGCCACGTAGACCAAGATCTCGGCCAGGTAGTGGGGGCACGAAACGAGCTCGAACCAGTCTCCATGTGGAACCACGTACCTCGTGTGTACCACGCGCCCTGGTAAAACGGCCATCGCACATTCATGTGTGGATTTGTATAGCATCGGCACAACGTACAATCATTGGGATTTTCAGGATGTCTAAAGGCAATTGCATATCATGTTGCACAGCAGACGAGAGGATTGAGACAACTGAATGTAGAGGACAAATAATGGAGGCATATATAATACAGATGGGTTAGTGAGAATGTGAAATTAACCATTATATGATTTTGACGAGGAAAACAAATGCAGCAGGGTACCACAAATGAAGACATCGTCACAGGCAATGCCTTTTGATGCCACCATAGTCACAGGTCAGGAGAGTTGTACTGTATATAATATAGTGGCTGACACATGCATTGTCATTGAATGTGCATTATCTGGCACAAATACATGCCTTATGATGTTCAAACACCAAATAGACAAATACTACGAAGGCATTAAGTCTGCATAAACCGCACATTACTTGGCATTGTTTTTTTATAATTCAATAGCTTGATAACGGCAAAAGGGTCCCATAGATAATCATTGTGTGTCGCACGATCCACTGCTATATACTGTGCTGCCTTGAACAATGTGGCCTTCCAATGAGCCAATGCAATGCATTTTACAGTATTCCCTCGTTAATTCCAAGGGATACGTTCCAGAGATGCTCGTGAATAGTACATTTAGTGGTCAATGACATTCGCCGAAAAAAACACTATATTTTTTTATGAAATACCTTAAATAAACACAAACTATTAAATACATTACAATTATCTCATCACTTTATCTCTCATCAATGTATCTTATCAATTTCTCGTATCGTGTTCTCTAATCACATTATTTCATCACTTTCTTTCTCTCTCTCAATGCAGTAGTTTAGAGTTCCAGATGTGATTTGTGGGTAGCCAAAATCACGAATAGCAAGTTCGTGAATAATGAGGGAACACTGTACAAGATTTCCTTGCCAATAACCAAATATCATCCTAAGTGTGCCCAATCTCGTCAGATCTCAAAAGCTATCAGGGTTGGTCTGGTTGACACCTGAATGGAAGATTCTTGGGAAATACCAGGCATTGCAGGTTTGGGCTGCAAGGTGGCCAGGAGATCACAGTAAATCAACGGATTCTTGAATCTTTGTGAAGCTTTGACACATATACGTCGATTTTACTACAGGCACTCTGCATCATTAACGGAATTGAAAAAATATTCCAAAAGCATCATCCACATGAAAAATTAGTCTTCGACACTCTTTCCTGACAATCAACAATGGGCATTACTGTATTTTTCAAAGGGAATGCTTGCAGTTGCACTCCAGGAAGTTATACTTCCAATTAGCACGGCTGGCTAGGTACCGTGCGAAAGAAGTTCAACATACATACATACCAGCTTTGTCCTTTCGTAGATTGGCCAAGATGTTGTGGCTCCGATGGTGGTGGAGCGTGGCCCAGGCAAACATGACAGAGCCAGCCACGTGGTACCATCTCCACTGGGCCAGCAACTGCCACACACTCAACTCTGACAACACATTGTTGGCACATTAGTATTGTAGTACAGCATTGATTGGTCTTCATTTCAGGGTAGGTACAAGATAGTAACATCTTGTCTTTAGTCGTCTGCCTATTGGCAGGTCTTTGGGGAAAAAAGGAGGAACACATGTAAATTAACACGGTATGATCCAGTCATTGTCTCCATGCTCAAATGAAGAATAGACCATACTTGAGAGATGCTGCAGGAAAGGTGAAGTCTAGTGTACAAGTTAAACGAATAAACTAATTGTTAAAAAGTATATATCATTTAACAAATAGCTGATAAACAAAGTGAGTTCAAGAGCATGTAATTTTCAACAAGTATATAAAAATGAAAACAGTATAGACATTTTATTCGTGCTGCAAATAATTTAGTGTAGGCATCCTGAGTGTTAAACATGTTGCAAAATTTCCTCTTCACCAAAATAGTTTCCGACCTTTTCCTCCGATGCTTGGGCCTTCACACAACAACGTGAAGGCGATCATCACGTAGTAGAGCATACCGAATCCATACTGGACTGCATGCATAATTGCGTTAGAATACACGCTGAGAAAAAGGCACTCGGCCAGTCGCCTCACTACTTGCAGTACCATGAGGGCTTGGGCAAGCACAACCGACAGCTCCATACCTGCAACAAAAAGACACAGAGGCCATTGGACTTAAAACCACTGCGGATGTAGAAGATTCTAAATAACACAACGGGTGGCAAGTCTCAACTGAACAATTTTTTTTATTTTACCACGTAAGCTCCACTGAGCTATGTAGCTCTTTTTCAGAAGCGAACTGGGCATAGATGATAGCTCAACAAAGTGGCTTATCATGTGCAAATTTACAGCAGCCAAATATTCTACATGCACGTTAATTCTAAATGTGGAGGGAACAACCAGAGGATCCGGAGAAAAGTCCACGTGACCACGGGGAGAGAGACATGCAAACTCCAAATATACAGGCATCAGAGTCAGGATCAAACTTAGGACATCCTGCATATCAGGCGAGGTAGTAAACATCTCGCCACGGCAATGCCTGTCAGTTACATACAGTCAGTTACATATCACAACTATGATAGTGTGCACACATTTTTTTTCAGCATCTTAAACTTGGTTCTCTCCCCTAGAAAAAAAAAACAACCAAAAGGCTGCCATTACTAGGTAGACAGCAATTAATTTGACGTGATTTTGTTTTGTAGGTGTGCTCACCATGGGGAAAATTGTTTGTGGGGCTGCCAAAGGCAACCAGGAGAGACTCGAGCCAGCCAGGAAAGGTGGAGCCCAGCAGTAGCGCACGGAGAGTCAGCGAGAAGAGTGTCACGTGCGAGACCACGGCCACCACGTAGAAATGCATGAACCACCTGGTAGTGCATTACGGCCAATACAAGCAGCATTAGTGTCATCACTGGTAACAATGCTACACTGGCTGAAATTGGCCTGAAAGCACAATGTTTGCAAATCACCTATTACATCTCATTATAAACTATAATGAGCCACTGGTTGAACAAGAGGTGTTTTAATCGGGGAAACGAATTAATTAACAAATGAATGAGTGGATGAGGAAGTGCAAGGAATGGACGGACGGACAGATGATGTTCGGTGCTGCTCACGCACCGCTTTGGCACATCCAGGGCGCGCATCCACGCGGCGCGCTGCCCGCCCTTGCTCTTGCCGTAGCGGATGAAATCCTCGAGCAGCACGGGCGGATCCCGCAAGCACACGTGCACGGCGAAGGCAATGACAAAGCCTATGCCAATGACGGCCCAGATGATCTCCAACAGGCACGGGGCAGCGAGCAGAGCCATTGTCACAAGGCTGGCAGAAGCTGTGAACCAAAACATGCAGGAGCAATGCAGAAGTGTAAACATTTGTGGAGATGGGACGACGAGTTGATTAAGTTGGTAATTGACTAACATTGAAATCGACTACTTTTGTTGTTGTTTATTCTTCAGACTCCTTTGCAAATGGTGGGTGCCCCCATATTATGCTTGCCCAAAGGGAAGAAAACCCCTACAAGCCATTCCCAGCATAAAACAGATGATCAGAACCATAATTTGTATTTATCATGGAGAAATCTGATGAGCAATGAAGCTCTTTTTCTCAGATGTCCAGTTGGGGCACCTGAGAAAGTTAAACAATACAAAAAAAGATAGGCGTACAAAGTAACAGGTAAGCAAATAATTATAAATAAATATAAATACAGTATATAAGTTAAAATTGCACAAGTACAACAATTCCCAAGCTTGGGCAAGGCAGTCAAAACAACAACAAAAACAGTGCCAGACCACACCAAGACAACACAGTCCCTCAATAAAATTGCACAATAAAATCGAACTATCATAATTCTGATGACATTACCAAGCCCTGCCCATCACCTAGGCCTCGGCAAGGTAAAGTAAAAACAACGAGCCTACCTTTACCCTACCTTTTACCTTACCACAATACAATCACTCTACCCTACCTTTTACCCTTCAGCAGGTAACGTAAAAGGTTAAAAACGAGCCTACCTTTCCCTACCTTTTACCCTTACCCCATACAAATTACCCAATTACAGGGTAATTACTGGGGTACTACACATGAAAAAAGGTTTATAACAGGTAAATGCTAGGTAGAGTGCTTTATTCATATATAATACTCTCGATGATTCCAATTTTACACGCTTTCTTTTAACTCACTGTCTGTTGTTGTATCCTCAAATCTTGTAACTCAATTTTAACCCACTTCCCAATGTGGTATCGACTGCAAACTTGGTATACTTATGTCATACTGATGACAATACTATATTCTATCATTAAAAAGAAAAAAATATATATTTTTAAACATTATTTTGTATATGTTATGTTTTGGCTTGGGTCTAATTGTCCACTGTCAACTGACGTTGGCTGAAATTGGCCACGGTCCCTTACGTTATGGCAAGCTTCGGGGCCACATCCTGGAGTCGTGGAATTCTGCCATTACTCGCACATTTCATAAAAGCATGGTTTAAAAAAAGTAAAAAAAAATATTACTCATTAAATGGAGGCCACGGACTGCGCCACGGAGCTTTTAGCGGTAAACAAGGCACCGTATTTACCAGGTAATACTTTGCGCTACCTTTACCCTACCGGGTAATTCTTCCGAGCTACCTTTACCCTACCCTTTAGCTTACCCCTTGGCATGTCGACACCTTTACCGTTTACCTTTACCCTTTTACCCGGTATAAAGGGTAAATTACCTTACCTTGCCGAGGCCTACCATCACCTGTCATGAAGCAGCACGTGCGAGTGGGGAAACCCTTTTTCTGCCAACTATGTTCATGTTTCCTGAGTAGTCATTTAATAAAACCGATGAGTTACTTAATCAGATATCCCATATCTAGACATGTCAGTCGAAGCGAATATAGTAGTTGTTTACTAAAGCATCTTCAATAGTGATGAAGTTGAATGAATACGGACAATTCCAGTAGTGTCATGGATGAATAAACACAGTAGGTGAACTGAATGTCCAAACTGGTACAGAGTTTTGCTTGTGCTGTTAAAATTCACTGATAAAATTAGGTACTCCCTGTGCTACTGACTGAATGTATAAAAGAAAGTTATTTATATAAAGGGAAAGATACGTGGAGGGATATTGTCTACTTATTTAGATGAAGAGGCGGTGCCCTGGGTGAGCAATTAAAGGGCTAAACCACACCGCCCCACCTATTTGAGACTTCCGATATGGTTGCAAACCATATTATATCTCGGACAGATGGCACTCTTGCATACAAATAAAACTTTATGCCTGTAAAAATGCACCATGGAAATGTACAAAAAAAGTTTCCACTGGGACCACAAAGCGCGTATCGTATAAGACGCCTGTTTGGAGCACAGTAGAGAGGGGGGCTATGCCCCAGAACATTTACCAGGGGAAATGTATATCTGTGGAAGCTCACTGGTTTTATTACATGAATGTACGGCCCTATTTTAAACGCTTGGAATTCGGGGCTGTCCCCAACTGCCTTGGGAAGTCTCTAGATCAGCCAACAACCTAACACCATAAATCAGTGTTCCCAATTACCACTAAACACAGCACGTAATCAACGTATAAAATTGATGGTTGGGTTAGACCAAGTAGCCATTTCTGGCCACTGCCTGAATTGGCTGTGTCGGGTGGAGGGGTTTAGGACACAAAGTTTACTAACGCAATCTATTGGACTCAAAGTCACGTCAATTAATTTTTTGCTTCAAACTCCACATCTTGATTTAGACCGCAGGATGAATCCGATGAGCTATGCAGCTCTTTTCATAGACGTTGTCCAGTATGGGTGGGTCAACGGTTTACAACAGCAAACAAAAAAACACGATAGAAGTGCAAATTGAGGAAAAGGTAAGTCACAAAATATTAATATATTTGTATGTACTGTGTATGTCTAATTTATCAAGCTTGGGAAAGGCAACAAAAACGACAAAAGTCTCAGACCACACCACGATAACACCACACAGCAGTAGTCTCTCAATACAACTGTAGTGACATTGGGGATGTCACTGTATGGTGCCAGCCCGAGAGGGCCGTGGCACGCGATGCACTGTCATCGCGTACACCCCGTAGGCGGGTGTAGTACCAGCCCTAGCGGGGCTTGGTGTGCGCTGGGATAGCACGTGCACCACGCATAGCGTGCAGTGCGGGCTTCCACAAGGGGGAGTGGGAGAGTGTCAGCCCAGGGGCAGGGTTGCCCCGGGCCATGGCACTCTGGTTGACCCCGTAGATACGTGATCCGGAGTGTCCACAGAGAGCCCCCAAGTGGGGGGGCTAGGGGGCGATCACGTGTCCGGGGAGAGCTCTCCAGAGGGATCGAGAGAGAGCTGAAACGCTCGAGAAGGCGGGCGGGGCCAAGGGCGGAGCGGCCCCGACCCAGGGGGATATAAGGTGGGTCCCTGAGAGGGGCCAGGGTCGCTGCATTCTACAAGGTGAAGCTCTAAAGGCATCAGCACGTGGTCGGGGACCCGAGTGAGGGTCAGATCCTTCGTAGTTGTAACTCCTCCGTATAGAGTAGTTAGCTGGGTGGCCACCACCCTCTGCTGTGTCTGGTGAAAGGGGAGTTACCCCTTTGTGTTACGTGTTAATGTTACAAATAAATGTGTTGCCTCTAAAGAGCGTCTGCGACTCAGTTGGACTCACTACACAATGGCACATGAACACTGAACTTTTGATACACATAGTCTTAGCTCTTTCGGTAAAGTCACGTTGAAGGGAAACAATAAAATAATAAATATATAAAACAATAAAAATTCTCACGACGTTTCGACCATAACACAAACGGTCGTCATCAGGTGTGTCGGTTCGCGTCAATTTATTTATTTTTAAACGGTGTATTTATTTATTTATAAAAACGTCAGCGCCACGCGCAGCGATTTGGCAGTTTATTTAGAAGGACTAGTCCATCTATGTTCTGAAAAGAGGAGGGGGGAGACGAAAAATTAATGTATGCTGTCTGAAAGCCACTGTAAGCGTGATCAATTAAGACCTGAAATGGTTGATCAAATCTTTCCAATGATTGCTAAGCCAGAATCCATCTTCTCGGTTGAAATTGTCTCTGTGCTTGTATATGTGGATAGCCTCATGAACAAATCTCTCATGGTAGCCAGATGGCTTACAAAGAACCTCTGTGTTGGAAAAGTCAATGTCATGTGAGCCTACTGAATTATAACAATGATCTGCCACGGCCGAGGTGTTGGTACTACCGTGTTTAAGGTCTGCTTTGTGTTCACGAATGCGGTCCGAGACATGGCGTTTGGTTTCTCCAATGTAACTACTACCACAGAGGCAACTTAGTTTGTAGACACCAGGGTACTGTATGTCCGGAATCACATCTTTTACAGACGGAACCAGATCACGGATTTTATGTAATGTGTTGAAACGGACCGGGATCTTGTGTTTCTTCAAGATTTTGGAGTCTTTTTTGTGATCCCTGCAATGTAGGGTAAAGTGATGGTTTTGAAAGGCTCCTCAAGAGGGTCCTTCTTCATGGTTTGAGTGATAGCTTTGCGGATTGTATAGTCGGAGTAACCATTAGCCCTAAGAGCTTGGTGTACGTGCTTGACTTCACTGCCTATGTGTTCCTGGTCAGATATGCATTGGGCTCTATGGTACAGAGTCTTGATGAGAGAATTCTTCTGTGATGGATGGTGGTGGGAATCCGGTTTCAGATAAGCATCCGTATGGGTAGCGTTCCTGTAGACAGAGTGGCTCATTGAACCATCAGGTCTCTTTTTTATTAGGACATCCAAAAAAGGTAGCTTGCCATCTTTTTCGACTTCCATGGTAAATCTGATGGCTGGGTGTATGGAATTGATGTGGTCGAAGAATTGGTCTAGAGCAGGCCGGCCATGTGGCCAGATGACAAAAGTGTCATCCACGTACCTCTTCCATAAGGTTGGGCGCAGAGTGGCAGTCTGGATGGCGTCAGTCTCAAATTTCTCCATGAAAATGTTAGCTATAACCGGAGATAGGGGGAGCCCATTGGGGTGCCCTCAGTTTGTTTGTAGAAAGTTCAATTCCAAGTGAAGTATGTATTGGTTAAACAGTGTCTCACCAGGGGGGGTACCTCAGTGTTTAGTCTTTGATGAAACCTGATTCCCATCACCATCCATCACGGAAGAATTCTCTCATCAAGACTCTGTACCATAGAGCCCAATGCATATCCAACCAGGAACACATAGGCAGTGAACTCAAGCACATACACCAAGCTCTTAAGGCTAATAGTTACTCCGACTATACAATCCGCAAAGCTATCACTCAAAACCATGAAGAAGGGACCCTCTTGAGGAGCCTTTCAAAACCATCACTTTACCCTACATTGCGGGGATCTCAAAAAAGATCTCCAAAATCTTGAATAAACACAATATCCCGGTCCGTTTCAACACATTACATAAAATCAGTGATCTGGTTCCGTCTGTAAAAGATGTGATTCCGGACATACAGTACCCTGGTGTCTACAAACTAAGTTGCCTCTGTGGTAGTAGTTACACTGGAGAAACCAAACGCCATATCTCGGACCGCATTCGTGAACACAAAGCAGACCTTAAACACGGTAGGACCAACACCTCGGCCGTGGCAGATCATTGTTATAATTCAGTAGGCTCACATGACATTGACTTTTTCAAGACAGAGGTTCTTTGTAAGCCATCTGGCTACCATGAGAGATTCGTTCATGAGGCTATCCACATATACAAGCACAGAGACAATTTCAACCGAGAAGATGGATTCTGGCTTAGCAATCATTGGAAAGATTTGATCAACCATTTCAGGTCTTAATTGATTGTTCACGCTTACAGCGGCTTTCAGACAGCATACATTAATTTTTCGTCTCCCCCCTCCTCTTTTCAGAACATAGATGGACTCGTCCTTCTAAATAAACTTCCAAATCGCTGCGCGTGGCGCTGACGTTTTTTTTATAAATACACAGTTTAAAAATAAATAAATTTATGCAAACCGACACACCTGATGACGACCGTTTGTGTTATGGTCGAAACGTCGTGAGAATTTTTAGTTATATATATTTTATTATTTTATTGTTTCCCTTCAACGTGACTTTACCGAAAGAGCTAAGAATATGAATTACTGCAGTCACGAAAGCTTTAAATCAAAATTTCGATACACAGTTAAGGGGCCTCTTTTTGGCACAAATCTGTCAATCAAAGCGACATCACAATTAATACATACCCGTAAACGATACGTACGCGTAAACATAATACATACGTGTAAACATAATGCATTCCCGTAAAAATTATAGTAAACAATACATACGCGTAAACATACTACATACCCGTAACAATTATAATAAATTATTTCGCGTAAACATTCTAATAAATACTTGATTTGAAGCTTTCGTGACTGCAGGAATTACTCTTTGGTTCTTTCGGTAAGGTCACGTAGAATGAGAATAAAATAATAAAATACCACAATAAAATTCTCACGACGTTTCGGCCACAACGCAAGCGGCCGTCTTCAGGTGAAAGGTACAGAACTGTCGGGACAACAAAGCTCTGTCGTCCGAAACGTCGTGAGAATTTGATTGTTTTATTTTATTATTTTATTCTCATTCTACGTGACCTTACCGAAAGAACCAAAGAAGATGAATCCTTGCAGCCACGAAAGCTTTAAATCTAAAGAATACGACGTTTCGATTGCAACACAAGCAATCTTTGGAAGAACGTAATCAACCTGGTGGGGCGTTGACTGTTGTGTTATCCGACTCTCTGTGTTGTATTGCATTATATTTCTAAGTTTACTAGGTTTGTTTTCTCATTAATTCTCACCTGATGACGGTTGCTTGTGTTGCAATCGAAACGTCGTATTCTATTATTTAATTCGCTTTCTTTCTACGTGACTTCACCGAAAGAACCAAAGAGTAATTCTAATACGTACCCGTAAACATAACAAAAATACAATTACTTTTTTTTTGCCCACTTCAGCAATTGTTACTTGCTGTGGTTGTCTCACCTGATGACGGGGGCTGGTGTTGCGCCCGAAACGTCGTGACTTAATTTATTTTATACCTTCGTGACTTTACCGAAAGAACCAAAGAGTATGGATCCCTGCAGTCAGGAAAACTTCAAATCTAGATTAAAACTTCATATCTAGATTAAAACTTCATATCTAGATTAAAACTTCATATCTAGATTGAAAAATGCAATTCTATAGAGAAAGCAAATGCAGTACTGCCTACGATTTACAGCTGTTTATGAAAGCAAGTTGTGGCTGTGAGTTAGTTGTAAACCACGGTATCGTTCGCGAAAGTATACGTGTTAAATGGAATTAATTGTTGTGTAATTGGTATGTAATTAATTGTAAATAGAGGTAATTGTGAGCACCACGCGCTGTCGCCCGCTCGCAGGTAAAAACCTCTGCTCTGACAAGACCCCCCCGCCCTGCAGATCGATTCCCTATAGTTAAATCGTTACATATAGATTCTCTCATACCCCTCCACAACGTCCCGGGATGGGTGAGGAATCGATAAGGAATCGCCTTTATTTAAATGATACAACACGCCAACATCCGCGTCGGATCGGCTACAAAGTGAAAGTGAGTTAATCGACGACGGATTGTTTCGATTTTCGATTCCTTAACCGGAAACTCGTGTTGCCGTGGCGACGCGGGGGTGGGGGGGGGGGTCACGTGTTAGCTGCTGGCTTCGGGAGGTCCGCGTGGGTCAGGTAACCGCGCGCTCCTCATCACTCATTCTTCATTCATTCATTCACCGTTCATTCATCACTCATAGTCTGCGATGGACCGTGCGCCAAACGTCGTGACCTCTTGCGTGCAGCGTTCGCATCAGCTGCCCTTGGCCGCCAGCGTCTCGAGTGATTTGTTTGCTCCACGGATCACGAGGGGCGTCGGGGCGGCGACGCCATTCCTCTTTAAGTGGTCGCAGTTCCCGCCTCGAAACGTCGACCGCCGACTGCAAGTGCGCAATTTGCTCGAGTTCGCGCAGCAACTCATTACTCGTCATCGGCTAGGCGCTGTTCGCTGCTGGGCGAAGTCCCCTCGCCAAGCCGCCACAGCTGAAGCGAGCGGCTCACACACGGCTGCTGTCCCCTCTCTGCCATTCGGCTGTCGGCCAAATGGCGTCACTGCACTCGGACTTCGTTCAAACTCAACAAGCTGTGAAATAAAACATCCGCAAAGCGGCGCTGGCGGCCGCTTTGGGGAGGCCTCCTTCATCCAACAGAGGATTGAGCATGGCTCATGACAACGATGACGCCGGCTGAATAGCCCTCGCGTTGACGCTGCCACTGCTGTTGTGGGTGCTGTTGTGTTAAAGTGATACGCGCCCTGTTCTCAACCCGTGTGGGGGGGGGGGGGTGGGCGATCTTCCAGAGGTTGTGCAGGCTGCGCATCGGGCACCGTGCAGGAGAGCGTTCGAATGACTGCAGGCAACGTCAGTGCCACGTTGCGGAAATTAACGTCTGACAAAACACTTGACGAGCGGCGCGGACATCTGATGTCTCGGTGTGTTTTGTGGCCTCGGTAACCTTCGTGTTGTGTTGGGTCCGGAGTGGATCTTCATTGGGGGGGGGCGCAATTCCAAAACGGCCGAGAACTTCCGTACAGCATTGCGGTGACGAATGCGTTAACTCGTGCGAAAACACGTCTCGCTGGGTTCAAAGTCGAGGCCTGTGCCCCAGTCTTGCATGGAAACCGAGGCGAAGCCTCAAGATCCAGAGGGCGGCTTTGAAGACCATTCGGATAGACCACTGCGAGTGGCCTCGTTCGTTCTGCCAGTATGACTCGTCTCGATTACATCCACCACTCAGTACTGTACTGTGGAAATGACCCAGCCAGTGCGTGTTGTGTGTGTGTGTCTAGGTCAGTGGTTCTTAACCTGGGGTGCACGCATTCCCTGGCTGGGGGTGCGAGATGCCCTTTCTGGGGTGCGAGATTTTTTTCGAAGGGGAATAATCGAAACACCAATTAACCACGGGCACGTAAGTGCAACTACTTTTTTCATCAAACCTATGTATGTATTAACATGATACATTTTTTTACGATTCAGAACCAAGAGGGTGCAGGGCTGCAGTAAAGGTTAAGAACCACTGGTCTAGGTGATTCTCCGCTCCGATTTCGCTTTCCAAGCTCGGCCTCGGGCATTAACACTCAATCTCTAGGAGTCCTAAGTGGACCTGAGTCTGGCACTACGAGCCTCGGGCATTAACATTGACGACGGCTTAATCATCCTATGTGTGCCTTAGTGTGGATTTCCGAAGTCTCCGGCATGGACACCGAACCTTAATAATCCGAAGCAGCTGCAGTCAAAACCTTTGAACAAGAAAGAAAAGTCGTCACGGGAAACATCGCGAGTAGGAACGAGAGCCAATGGTCGAGAATAACGATTGTGTAGCAGGCGAAGAAGGGAACAGGTCTCAGAGGGTGACCACGACGTTCTCGCAATGACGCAGTTATATTCGGGAATGCTTTTCGCACAACGCGGAACGCGCCATTTATAACGTGGAATGTGTCCGTTATAACGCGGAATGCGCCCGTTATGACGTGGAACGCGCCTGTTGTAGCGCGGTTTCTGAGCGGTCGACAATGAACTATTTGAACTGCTCTTAATCCGACCATGGCATGACTGCAGGCTGATTTTATAGTGCAAAGGTGATTCAAATTAGCTTTACTATTTACATATGCCTTGTAATGTATACAGGCAGTCCCCGGGTTACGGAAGGGTTAGGTTCCCGAGAACGATCCGTCACCCAAATTTTTATGTATGTTGGAACCTGAACAATTTCCCCCCCCCCCAAATCAAGAAAAAAAATCCCATAGCCGTAAATAGTTGTGCCTCCCCTACCCGATTACTCGTTCGTTTTCTCTCAGTACTGTATCGTGCTGTTCGTTTTCCATCGCTACCTGTATCGTGTCGCTGTACGTATACTCTGCACTTACTATGATTCTTTGATTTAATTGAATATCTACCCGAACACCATCCATAATGAAACTAATGGAACATATACTGTATCCAATTGTTTATGAAACCACGAAACATGTTAATATTAATTAACAGAAAGTGACTTCTGAATGCTTATTTACCGTGCATTAGGCTAGGCATAGACTTCTCCGATCGCTATTGGCCGAGACCATAAGCAATCGAAGTGTAATTGTGTTAAAGTACATACAGTAAATAACTCGTGAAATATACTTAAAATGAAGAAAACTAGCAACAGAAACATGGGGAAAAAAGAGTTCTAAGCATAGAAAACAAACAATTATGTAATACAACAAAATAATTACGTAACACTACAAAAACAAATTCATTGACCTTAATCCTCGTGAAGCTCGGGCTCGGTGAAGGCAACGTTTTTGTGGAGCGAGGCGTAAGGCGGGGCTTACGCTTCACACGACGGTATTCATCCTCAACCTCACCGTGCTGCACTATTTACGCTTACGTAACTAATGCAAACATTTCTGTATATTGAATTTTTTTACATGATTTATGGGAGCATTTCTGTAAAGTCGGATTTCCGTAAGTCGGGTCTTACGCAACCCGGGGACTTACTGTACATAGTAATTCCTTGCTTAACGGCACTTTTTAGGAACGCATCTACCACGTTAAACGAGGAATTACAGTACAGTTTTCACAATTGCGTTCAAAATATGTGCACTATTTTGTCTTGCGATGCAGTTGCATTTGGTTGATTTAAAAATAGAGATTGTATCTGTGCAATTCCATTAATATTCACTTTATTTGCAGGGTTGCAGACTCGTATTTTTATTTGTCGCCAGGCAAGATGCTGTGGCGATTGTGGCTGTTCCTCTATGGGGGATTCCTGCGTGGGTGGATTAAGTGGTTTTTCCGCCAGCTAAGCGGCCGCTGTGAGCTGCAGAGGATCTGCTACCGGCACAAGACTGGGGCGACACGAGCCCTTGCAATCGGTACAAACAGCCAATGTGAAATGCTCTTGCTTGAGTGGGGCCTCGGTGTCTGAAGAGTTATTATCATCATAATCTTAATTTGCATCATAAGCCACGCTAGATCCGAAGTTATTCATAAAGTTGTTGACTTTTATAAGAAGTTGTGAGTAAACCTCTCCTGAGAAAATTGTGTGGGCAAAATAAAGGTTTAAATATAAATGGAGAATATATTAGATTCGAAGCTTTCGTGACTGCAGGAATTACTCTTTGGTTCTTTCAGTAAAGTCACGTAGAAAATAAAATGAAGTAATAGAATACGACGTTCCGGTTGCAACACAAGTAACCATCATCAGGTAAGAATGAATGATAAAACACAGACACGAAAACAACCCAGGCAGACACACATGTAGAGAGAGACACACAAAGACACACCGAGCGAGACACACCGAGCGAGACACACCAAGATAAAACACAGACACGGCAACAACATAGGCAGAGACACATGCAGAGAGAGAGACACACACAAAGACACCAAGGAAACACAGACACGGCAACAACATAGGCAGACACACATGCAGAGAGAGACACAAAGACACACCGAGCGAGACACACCAAGATAAAACACAGACATGGAAACAACATAGGCAGACAACATGCAGAGAGAGACACAAAGACACACCGGGCATGACACATACCAAGGAAACACAGACACGGCAACAACATAGGCAGACACACATGCAGAGAGAGAGAGACACACACAAAGACACACCAAGACAAACAGAAGGACAACGACTCTGTGCCGAGGCCTTAAATAGAGAAAGGGGGGGAGAGGGGCCGGGGCAGAGAAAGGATTGCAGAGGACAAATGAGTGGAGCAGTGTGGAATTCCAGACCACAGTGGCCAGAGGAGAGACTGGTTTAGAGCAAGAAAATCGAAAGTTTGAGAAAGCAAATTTAGTAAACTTAAGAAGTGTAATGCAATGCAACACAGAGGGTCGGTTAACACACAGCTAACGCATAGCCTGGTTGATTAACGTTCTTCCAAAGTATGCTAAATTAGAAGTTAAGTGTGGAACAGACAAGCAAGGAGAAATTTAGAGAGAGAAATAGGAAGTTTGACAACAAATTTAGTAAAATTAGAGAGTGTAATGTAATGCAATGCAGAGAGTCGGCTAACACACGGTTAACGTATATCCTGGTTGATTAACGTTCTCCCAAAGAGTGCTAAATTAGAAGTAAAGTGCGAGTTGTGAGTACTGAAGTGTGAGTTGTGAGTAAACCCTCCCCGTAGAGGTGGTTCAAACTAGATTCAAAGCTTTCGTGACTGCAGGATGGTTGCTTGGGTTGCAACCGAAACGTCGTATTCTATTATTTTATTTTCTACGTGACTTTACCGAAAGAACCAAAGAGTAATTCTTGCAGTCACGAAAGCTTTGAATCTAGTTTGAATCACCTCTACGGGGAGGGTTTACTCACAACTCACACTTTACTACTCACAACTCACACTTTACTTCTAATTTAGCAC